CCTATCTCTTCTCTTTCACCAACTCTATCCTATAGAATGAGTTGCTTATTCTATCTGTCAGCTAGACAAGTAGAAGCTATGATTGGAAGCTAGCAGTATAGACTTGTTTCCTATTGGATTAAGCTAATCTAACTCGGAAATGTCAGTTGCTTAACACATGCAAGTCGTAGAACTACTCCCTGAGTCTAGATCTCCGATTCCAATCCTGCTTTAGTGCATCTTTTACTTGACAGTTGCATCGAGAAAGGCGTGGCCCCAGAAGTGCTTTTTCGGAGATAGCGAAAGAAGAAAGAGCTTAGCTTATAAAGTAGTGTCTCCAAAAGCCGGTCAAACCCGAAGCCCCTCTGGATTCAAAACTTAGCCTTTGAAACCCTCATTCTCTTATTGTGCAGGCAAAGGCCTGGGCGAGCGAGTTAGGGTTAGATTAGAGGGAGGGGGACTGGTCTTTCTTGATAGGACAAGGCAAAGACATATTGCTATTTCCCGGGGAGAGAAGCCACGCTTTGCTCTTGATGGTCATATCGAAAAAAGGAAGAACTTTTCTTGGAAGGCTTTGTCCCCGGTCTTCCTTCTTCTCCTAACTTAAATTCCATTCTTCGAAACAGAAGGACGGCCAGCCCATAAGAAAGAGGCTTACCCATGTAAAAAACACAATAGACGAGCTCAGAAGACCTTGCCTTTGAGGCTAATTCGAAGAAGAAGATTCCCTATCATGGGAATAGTCCAACCGGGTGAACCAATTCTTATCCTTAATGGAATGGAACGGCGCGGGGATCTATATGTAAACATAGTATCTATTTAGATACGCTCGAACGACCCCTTCTCATAATGAGAATATATATAACCCTATTCCGGTCTGGTCCGGTATGGAATGAACTTATAATCATGGAATCGACTCGATCATCAGATTCTAGATTATAAGTTCATAACCCTAGCCCATTCCCATTTTGGGCGTGGGCGGAACAGATCTACTAATTCTTTGATTCCAGTTAGTAAGATAAGAGTTGAACTAAGAAATAGATTCTAGAAGCTAAAAAAGGGTATCCTGAGCAATTTCAATAATAGGGTTCATTGAGATTCCTGGTATAGTAGATGCTATCACACATACAATCATACTCAATTCGATGGAATTGTTTGATCTTAAAGGGGACCTTATATAATTTCGCACGTGAGGAGTTATTTCTTGGTTTCGCCCAGTCATTAATAACTTGATTCTTTTTAGATAATAGTAGATAGAAAGAACGCTCGTAAGGAGTCCTATTGAAACCAAGAAATATAGGCCTGCCATCCACACCAGAATAAATGAAGTTTTCCGAAAAAACCTGCTAGTGGAGGAAGACCTCCTAAGGATAAGAGACAGAGGGCTAAAGAGAGAGCCAAAAAAGGATCTTTCGTGTATAATCCTGCATAATCTCGAATGTTATCCGTTCCGGTACGTAGACTAAATGATACAATGCAAGCAAAAGTTCCTAGATTCATGGAGATATAGAACAGCATATAAGTTCTCATGCTTGCATATCCACCATTTGAGTCTCCAACAATTATTCCAATAATTACATATCCGATTTGACCTATGGACGAATACGCAAGCATACGTTTCATGCTTGTTTGGGTAATAGCAATGAGATTCCCCAATATCATGCTAAGAATAGCTAGGATTTCCAGAAGAAGATGCCATTCGTTTGATGAGAAATAAAAAGGAATATCGAAAATTCGAGTGGCTGAAGCTGAAGCGGCTACTTCCGAAGCAAGTAATTTGATTACTTATTGAAGTGATTCTAGTTTGTTGGTTACTGTAAGAGTCAGAGTTGCTTTCTCTTCCTCTTGTCAGTCTTTCATTTCTGTATGAGAGCCCAAAAGGGAATCAATCGTTAGCATTCCAATCCGTAATGAATCTCTTTGTCTTATATTATCTTTATCGTATTCGAAGTAGTAGAGCGAGCTTATGTGCTTTTCATTTAAGGGAATGGTCTTTCGCAAAAGAAGTGAGAATCTCCTTCCACCTTTGATGAAAATCGTATCATCCTTGCCTTTCAGCCTAATCCGTTTAGCACGTAATCTGTAGTCCGATCGTCTTACATATGTAGTCCAGTCGGTCAGTTGGTAAGTAGAGCGTTGGCTAGGCTATTCCTTATATACGATAGCATCACGCCTTTCACCAAGCCGACCCTCAATGTGGATGAAGCCGCTTATTTTGCGTTGACTTCCGTCCGAGGATATGTATATCAACAAAAGATTTAGTGAGAATTTACCCTTATCTTATATATGCAACCACCGGTGCCAGTTTTAGGGCTCAATCAAGGAAGGCAGACCTCGGAAGCAATACAAGATAAGGTTCGTCAGACTTTATCATTCATTCCTCCGGGTAAGAGGGAATTGCGAGACGTAGCTACGCCCTTCTTCCATGATAGTAAGTAGGTATACTAGAAGCCAAGAAGCTTGTGAACACATTCAACCAACCAGAGAGGGGGCAAGGACAGTTAACCTCAAAAGTGAAAACCCGCCGTCCATCACAAGCAATGAGCCATTGACTTCAGCTGGCAGTAATGCATCGACATGGAGTGTCCTAGAAGACCCACAGATTTTCACCCATTCCAGGCACGTGCATTGCATTGAGATATACCAACTTCGCACGATCGATATAACAAGGATCCAGTCCTTACCAAAAAGACGATCTTTCGACAGGATGAAATCAATGCTTGGTTCCTGCCGGTTTGACGAGAAAGAAAGACATTCCAGAAGCTTCACTTGACCGTGACCGAATCACAGAAAGAGAACGAGTGAGGCGCTCTCATTTCATTCCCAGCCGCTTGGCTGATAATGAGGAAACGAATTCTACCTTTACCGATTGGACTGGTCCAACATCTCCACAGGACGCCCTACCAGTTGGCGCAAGGACTGCTTTTGCCCCGGGACCAAAGAACAAAGGGAAGCTCTCACTACCAGTGAATGATGAAATGCCTCGACTTAGAAACCACAGCCCTTCTGTCGAGAGGAAACAAAAAATCCTTTTTATCAAGATAGAATCTTAGGGATGCCTTGCAGTTGAAGCCTCTGGGCTTAGCCCTACTATGACCGAAGAAGACGATTTAATAAAGATAAAGAAAAAAAGACTCCATGAGCCAGTTACGCCACTTCAGCACAAGGTCTTGAATAGCCTATACGAATTCTCACAAGGAGAGAGACGACCCTTCTCTTACGTGGGACACGGAGATGGAAGAATGGTAGGACCGACTTTCAGACTTAGCCAAGGAACGACCGAGACCTCGAACATGAGAAAGACTGACGCCTGATTCAGGAAGGGACACGAGGGCTCCTCTTTCTCACTGGAAGATCCTAAGATTCTACAGTAGAATAAGTCCCCAACCTTCAAAATGAAGGATCAAAAGTCTGCTTTCCAAAACCCACGCAAATGGAGGCCGATGACCTCAGACCCATAACAGGGGTCAAAGCTTTTCCATATAGCAACTTGATCCATTATAGGAGGCCTCTGTCATTAGAAGAAGACCGCTTTGAAGCTAGGAGAAAAAAAAAAATGACTAAACCAGCCATCTACGCGGGTTGGCCACTAAATAAGAAGGCCTCTACGAACGCTTTCACTAGAGAAAGAGAGAAAGGCCCGTTCGGCTATGTAAAGAAGTCCCTGCAGGCTCCAACCCAGTCCTAACATTCTACAAGAAGAGTGTCCGACGTCTAACAAGCAACGGCTAACGAGAGAGCGCTAGCGCGAAAGCCGCGCCCATTTCTACCCTTGGCATCCGTTTTCTTGCTTTTTAAGTTAAGTAAAGACTGACTACGAGCTAACTAATCGAATGGAACTGTCTTTAATGAAAAGAAAAGCGGAGGCCCTTGCTAGCATTGTGCTTTGGAATCGATTCTTTATCAATGGCCCACCCTTTCTTTGAACCTTGTCAATGATCGAACTTAAAGATATGAACTGAGTGCCATTTTTTGAGTAACTGAGAACAAGGGAGAGGGATATGGAAAGGATGAAGTAATGAAAGACGAAGTCATTGCTAGTAGTAACGACTTGTCACGATCCATTGGTTCATATAAAATCCATGTCCTAGGTGTATCAAAAAACATTCTTTTCGCTAAGCGTATATAATAAAATAGAGTGAAAGGTCCACCCCGAAAGGGGGTACTAACTAACAGCTGAGTCCTCTCCGAACCGCAGGAGATAGTTGCCCATCATACGGCTCACCAACTTCACTTGCCTCTATGGGAGACTCGCTCCGGGCAGGTTCGGATTACAATACACGGCTCTACGAAGGAAGGGGTTGGTGGGTTAGGAACGTTTTCAATATGATTCTTTTTCCGTATTTGTTCGATGAGAAATGCAAGACGAAAAAGGAACCCATCTTTTCGACTGGGAAATGCGAGTCTGTTTTGTCCACTTTATCCATCCCTCTCTATCAAAATGATAAAAAAGGAAGGCGAGCTTGCTTCTTATTCTCGTGTTCGATCTCTTCCATCTCTGCCCCGCTCGTTGTCACCTATGTTGAAGAAAGGTTTGGAACCCTGTAGAGAATGAGGAGGGGCCAAGGATCTTCCTCTAAACAGTGCTTATCGGGGCTCCACTCTCCCCCCCTGAATAAGTAAGGCCCCTTTAGCCTGGGCGAAGATGGGGATAGGGAATAAGGATGGAAGCCCCCTTCACTCTGCCAGGGACTGGACAGGGGTTAGCTCTCTAAATGTGTAGAGCCGAGTGTAGTGTGGTGTAGTAGTAGGCACTTCTAGGCCCCTTCCCGGCTACTGGACCACTCCAGTGCTTTGGGTACTACGGACCCTCTGCCATCCATTGCAGCAGAGCCGTTTCATGAGCGGGGGGGGCTAAGCGCAGTTCTTTGAATCAAACGTTGAATGAAATCGATTCTTTTTTAGATATAAAAATCTAAATCGGATAGGATAGATGGATGGATCTATCTTTCTATTAATATATATATATGACTAAAAAAAATGGATTTCTATAGTTAAGTAGCGTAGCAAGAAGCCCCAAATCCTTGATTTGGCCAGGAAAGACTGCACTGCTTTGGGCCCAGGAAGCGAAGGGAATGAGCTCGGCTGCTTATCCTCCACACTTTTATCCGTGCCCGTTTCGCATGCGCTTCGCGCGCCATTGGCGCTTTGCTCTCCTCTTATTCTTCATTGGACGGTTCGGATGGACTTCGCCGTTCTTTCCCAACGAAAATAGAAAAGGCTGTATCACATCGAGATGTCGATTCGTTTTCCGCCCCCAATGAGATGGGGAATTTGTAACCCCCTATTTTGACTTTTGTTTTGACCCTTCATCTTTCTGAATGGAGGCCCGGCTCGCGTCGTTCCAACAACCGGCGGGGAGCACCTCAGTATACGATCGCGCGCAGTAACTGGGAGTCCTTTTTTTTTTTGACACCTAAGGCCAACTTCAATTCACCAAACCAAGGTTCATCTCGTGTAGTGATTGTGGACTCGTACAAGGATATTGAGTAGACGGTTGATGTTTCAGACTCGACCCTCTCTTTCGTAGCATGCATTCCCATCGGTGTCGCAACTGATTCGGTAAGCTACGTGTCCGGTGCACGGAGAACTGCCTTCGGTCCCCCAAACTGACTTACTCGTGGCAACCTTCCGGCCGCCCAACAACCTATAACGCTAGTCACTACTCCCACTGGGGCTAGGAAGTAAGCCCCACAACCCAAAGCGGCGAAGAACAAATAGAATTTGCTACAAAAGCCGGCTAACGGGGGTATTCCTACGTATGAGAACATAGTCATGGAGAAGGTAATAGCCGAAATAGGATTCGTTTTGGCTAGAGCGCCCAAATCTGCCATATATTTGACACGGGTTTGCCGTAATGCTAAAACTATGGCGAATGCATCTATCGTCATTAATGCATAAATTAAGATACCAATTAGTAGTGATTGAATTCCGTTTATGGTTCCACATGAGAAACCAGTACGAATATAACCTACATGTCCAATTGAACTATGAGCTAGAGGTCTTTTGACTTTCGTTTGGGCCATGGCGGCCAGTGCTCCTAAAATCATAGAAGCAATGCTGCAGAAACAGAAGATTTGTTGCAATGTAGCTCCATAGGAACCATAAATAGAAACACGTGAAATATTAGCAAAAATAGAAATTTTAGGCGCAATAGAAAGGAATGCTGTAACCGGGGTGGGTGAACCCTCATAGATATCAGGTGCCCACATATATAGAGTCAAAAGAGATATGGAGTCCGAAGGGGAGGGGGGTTTTCTTCGGGGCTCGAGAGATGGAATAGATAGGGCCAAAAAAGTTTTTAATTCGCCGCTGGGGAATTCACACGAAAGGGAACGAAGAATTCTCGACGACAAAAAAAGTGCTCTCTGAACCGAACGTGAAAGTAGTTTTCCATCAGACGGCTGTTCCCGTAACTCCACTCTCCACTTGGATTATATATCCAAAAAGGTCCGCTCTTGGCCATTCCACACGCTGCCTAGCAGAGGCGTGGTTATCTCAAGTGGATTCTCTCTTTTTTAGTAGATGCCGAACCTGCTGCCCCATTGACTAAGAAGGGGGCGGACGCAGCAGCTACATGGACCCCTTCCTTTCTGTTGTTGCCAGCGCTTTCCCGGGCCGAGATATAAAGGGCAGGCAAAGCCCGAAGGCTGCTATCCCAATAGGCCAGCGGGCGGAACGAGGAGAGGGCCCGGCAATCATACCACCGCGGTCGAAAAAGCGTGTTCCCTTCAGATAACACGCACCGTAGGCCATCCTCGGCCTTCTTCGTTTTCGATGAAAAAAAAAAAGATCGATCTCCGAAAGCGTTTTCCTTCCCCCGCCGCATCTCCCTCCCTTCGTCGAGCCTTTCCTTTCATGGTTGGGGGAAGCATTCCCTGATCTGAACTTGGCGGGCATTCTTTCCAGCCTTATTCAAATAGGGGGTGGGTTTGGTTGGTTTGAACATAGGATAGGCTAGGCTCAAACATCATGATTTTAAGATCCTAGCTACGCCATACGTTCAATACAAAATCTGGAAAGCTGCAGGGATGAAAAAAAGAGGGCGCCTTTCCTGTGTTGCACTGAAAAAAAAGAAACCTAAGAGCGTCTTCTCTTAGGTTTCTTCCTCCCGCGCCCGCCGCCGCCCGGCGTTAGAAGGGAAGATTAGCAAAGCGAGAAAAGACAGAGGGAGGGGGAGCAGCATCTTATTCTCTTCGCGAGAACTTCCGGATCGGAGAAGCATTCGGAACGGGCTCCGCGTTCATTTCGTTGGCAGAAACGATCCACAATCCATTCGGGGCTTCGGGGAACCCAAAGAAGTCTTTCGACTTGATTCATAGATTGAATCAATGATAGATAGAAAAAAGATATCTCGTTCATCTATCTTTTTTTTTTCTCTACTCTAAAGAGGAATAGAATAGACATCCCCTTAGATGTCTATGTATCCTTTATCCCCATTTTTTTTAGAGATAGCAGATAAGATATAACGCTCTAAAAAAAAATGGAGAGAGAAAGAGCAGATGGATCCTATCCCCTATA